CCAAATATTTGCATATCTCGAGTGCAAAAGCAACAACCACAACACAGCACTTATTCCCAATTTAAATGGAATTAGAGAGACTTCAGGCATCATTATTGGCCAAATAGAAATATATATATAAAATTATACAAAAAGCATTTAGGCTTAAAAATGTCAGAGGTAAAACTAACCTTTTGAACGGCAAAAGAAATTTTGCAAGATTAATTTAACCTTTCATTTCAAATTATTTTAGATAGTAGATGTTTTTCTTAATTTATTATTATATTTCTATAATAAAAGTATATTATACTACTAAATAAACTTATTAAAAACGTTCTAAAACATTTCAAGAAAACTAAACTGACCTTGTTTATCTATTTAAGCCAACTGTTCTGCAATTGAAAGACTATTGCACAAGGTCAAAGGGTGTGAAGGAAAGTGAACACTTCAGACAATTCAAACAGAAGGCAAAAAGCTTTGTTCAACTACTTTTATTCATCTAAATTCTTTTTACGAGTACTAGGCGCAGATTTCAATGCTCAGAAGAAAAGGAAAAATCTTACAAATTACTTTGAAAGTAAAAAACGAAGAAGAGACTCGGAAAACAGACTTAAGTTTACAAAAACTCGGTGGTATTAGTAGGTAAACTGTTCTTTACCATTAGTGTGAATATTATAATAGTTATTTTTGGACTCACAAAGAATACAATATTGTATTCTTAAATTTAAGAAAAAAACATAGTTTTATGTTCCCATAATTTTAGAACATTTTATAAGCCTACTGGCAAGGATCTGCAATTTATTTAAATTATTCTTAATATCCTTCTAAATTTATTTTAGAACCTCAAATAATCACTATATTTCATATTCCTCTTAGCACGTTGAAATTAAATTAAATATTTTTCTATCTTGTGTAAACTAGTATATTATAAAATTGTTTGCCTCATTTACAGCCCCCACATTTGGAGCTTTGTTAATTTGCAATAAATTTAGTCAGCTGATTTAGATGATTTTGGTAATGCTTTTATCTAATGCACACTGAACAAATAGCCCATAATACTATATTATAGTCATTTCCGATTTAGCCAAAACCACATACATATGTAAACACTCCCACAGACATACGTAATCGCGTGAAAGCCAAACAGTACACGCTTCGAATAAAATCTGTTAATGACAATAAAGTGTAAAACATAAAATCCTGTAATTGTCGAGTGCATGGAAATGAAATTTGTAAAACACCAACCAACCACACAGTAGATACTATTTTCCCCGTCTCACTCTCCCCAACTTATATAATGTTGATATTGCATAATTTGTACAATGTGTCGCCAGTGGACCGAGCGAGTTATGTTTGTTAATTTCCATGTTGTAAATAAATAATTAAATTACTTTGCCGGGCATGCATCATAATGGGACAATCCTGCGCCGGAAGGAGACCCAATAAAGTACACAACACAGATATTAAGTTGTTTTTAATGTGCACGAAATGCTGTCATCCTGTGGATCCAGCAGCTTGGAGGTCTGCAAAGGCTCCTGGTCTGGTCTGGGACTCGTACAAGAATGTCACTGGGGCCAGGAGGCCATCGGCATCATCATCATCATCATCAGAATGGCAACGAAATCGAATTACTTCCGTATGTTGTGGCAACACGCATTCGAACCATTCACTTGCATATATCCCAGCCCTTTCCTACATATACTATATCCCCAATTCAGGCCGTACCGCAACTGCAACTCCATCTCGACACTTTACTTGTCCTTGTCAGTCATCCCTCCCCCCGAGTCCTTGCAGCCCTTTTTCCTCTCAGAATTTCACCCGCTTTGTCCTCAGTTTTTCCCCACTAACTTGTTGGACTTTTGCAACGCGTCGTCGGCTTGTTCATCAGGCTGCAGTCACAGCAGTTCGGCTTACACACAATTTACAAAATAACCTCAACTCACTCACTCACTCTGGAATCCCGGCTAGCTCCCCAGGCCCCATCCTGCCCCAGGATAACAGAGGCCCTTCAGCCACTCACTCACTCACTCACTCAGTCAGTCGGGCTGGGAGAGTGTGTAAATTGTCTTGTGTAAATATGCAAATTTTTCTTATTTTTCATACTCTATCTGGCACCGGGGAATTAAAACTTTGACCATAACTAGAATTAGCTTGCTCTGCAAAGCTCATGCGAATATTCAAATAATGATTGTAATGGGCCACTGATTTTTTTAGGGTATTTATAGGGATATAGATGAGAAAGAACATTTTATCCTGGTATATTAGGTTTATTAACAATGTTAATATTTAAATAAAATAATATATATTTTTACGAACTTGTAGGTGTTTGCGAAAGATTATCAATATGCAAATTTCAGCTAGGCACTTTTTTTTTAAATTCTTAAACGTTTGTCACAATTCTTAGAAAACATTACCCTGTTATTTATTACAAAATGTACATTTTCTAATCAGAAGTTAATACAAATGAATATTTTAAGTAAATAGATTCCCATTTTCGAAATAATGTCAGGGTTTGTATGAATTTAGGTATTTTTAGAATTTTTCTTTTTACGCATTAACTTAAAACGTATTAAACCTAATAATTTATAAATTAAAACATAGAATTTATATCTCAGTTTAAATAACAGCCTTTTTTGCTTTCCATAACTACTCCTTAAAGCATGGAATTCCAAATTCTTAGTTTTTAATATTATTTAAAATGTCTGCTGTTTTTGAAACACTATGAACACTAAAGCATTTTCTGAGAAACGTCATATCTTATGAAGCTTCTAACACATTTTTTAATAACCTCTAAATCAAGACGAACTATTATACATTGTTATAAACTTTTGAACATTTGAAAGTTCTTATTAAAAATACTATTCAGGTACATTGAATGTTTTAAGGAGAAGTTTAAGTTAGAAGTTTGAGCAAAATCAGTTCAGTAAAAATTTATAAAATGATTATTTTTAGAAATAATATAATAAATTTATTAGAGATAAAGAAATTGAATTTTTAAATTTAGCAAAGTAGTTCCTTAAAGAAACTTTAATTTATTTAAGCGCATATATTATTTAATAACATCAGCTGCGTTGTGCTTAAAAAGGAATAATTTTTATGGACAATTATACGGAAAATTCCCAGGTTTTAGAACACTTTGTTTAAAGTTAACTTTAACTACTTTATAAATAGCCCTAAAATTAAATACTTTAATTTTTTCCTGTTTTAATACATATATGTCTTTTAAGGGACTCCAATTCGCTTCTTTTGTTTAAAAGAATGCTCAATAAGAGTATCAAAAATATCGACATCCTGAGCTCATCCTGTCAATCCTGTTTTTATTGTCAATGTTGTTGTTATTGTTAGTGTTGTGTGTGTGTGCGAGTGTTAGTACGAATCAAGGGCGTAGTGGGCGGCGGGCGTTGGCATTTCGTGTAAACAAACCAAGGCGTCGGATTAAAAAGTTTTGCATTACAAAGAGTTTTCGGTGGCAGGGCGACGAAAGGACAGGCTGGCTGGCAGGAACGGAACGGAGCGAACGGAAGGAAGCTTGGGAAAATGTTTTGATTATTTAACTGCAAGTTACGATAAAACTAATTGCAATTACAAGCGGACTCTACCGCTCTCTGTCTGTCGTTATGGCCCTAATGAAATTGGCAATGCCAAGGCTGACGATTCAGCACAACTCAAACTTCGCACTGCAGTTTTATTGGCTCGGTTCAATTCAAACTCAATAGTTTTCCTTCTCTTTGTTGGTCATTGCATAAATTTGCCTCGGGCGATATTGATTTCCATTACAAATCCAATATTAAACTATGCCCCTGAGAGCGATTACTCGATTTCTACCGTTTGCTTACTTATTTAAACCTTTTTGTAATTCAGCTGCCTGCACTTGCACCTGCATACACAGTCGCACACATTTAAATGTTACAAAAGATCATTAAGAAAATAGATATATTTTCCGTCGGGATTGTCTTTTAATCTGTGAAAATGGTGACTGCACACTTTTGAACTCAGAGTCTTGCCAAAGTTATTTGTATTATTTATGCTTGCTTGGGGATGTTATAAACACTAAATTTCTTACTTATTGTTATTTAAATTGGTAAAGGTTCGAAAAGGTATACGAATGCTCTTAATAAAGAAGCTACCATTTTTGGAATTTTTTATAAAATTAATTACATTTTCATTGAAGTATATACATAGATTGAGTATTATTTTAATTAAATAAAGAATTATTATTTCTTCAATATTTGTTTCCACCTAGCAAAGTATGACTAGCATAAGCTTTTATTAACATGGCAGATAAATATATTTGAACTCAAACAAATACTCAAGTATGTTGAAAATTAAATCTAAAAACTATTTCAAATAAAATAAAATAAATGTATAGATTTGATAAATTTTAATATTTATGTAAATATTACTTAATGCCTATGTTAAATAGATTTACTAAGGACTTATTAAAAATTATTTTAAAGCATGTAATACACATAGAAAATATATTTTAAATATTATTCTAGTGCGCACTTGAATCATTTCTTGCAAAATAGCTTAAAAATGTGTTTGCTCTTTTATATTAAAAATTAAATACAGTCAATAAATATAAATCTCTACTGATTTTAATTATATTTTCAATACTAACAAAATAACCTTAAATTCCATTATGATTTTGTCTTTAAGTTTTTAGTTTAGTTTAGTTTTATTTATTAAATATATTTTCCAACCTTACACTTTGTTTATTATCTTTCTTTCCTTTTTCTTGTAATAATTTTAATTTTAGTATAGTGTTGTAATTATATTTTTAAGCACAATATCTATGACATATTTTTAAGAGCAACCTTTTTCTGGTTCTCTAGACTGCAGTCCCATTTTCATATATTTATTTAATATTTTTCTATGCTGTGCTCTCAAGTTATTCGAGCCAAAAACCACTTAATAAAATTCCAACCACACGAAGACTGACTCGTTCTCTCGCTACGCAGAAAAGCATTTTACAAGCACTTCAAGTAACTAACCAACAAAACCCGGTAACACAAACTCACCTGCTCTTATTTGACCTTATGCGGCTGCAACTTGTTGACTTTAATGAAAATGCACTCAGAGCCTCACTGGCTGACTGGCTGGCTGGCTGGTTGGTTGGCTGGCGGCGCACACACACGAGCTGCCCGCACAATGCACAACAAGTTAATATGAATTAGCTGTCTGTGTAGCTAGAGCTAGCGTATCTCTTGCAAAGTATCTGTATCTGGGTTTCCTTTCTTTTCAAAAAACGGCACACGGTTAGAACACCAACGCAAAAAAAAGGACAAACAAAAAGCGGGCGGCACACACAGAGAAACGCGAAAACACTGGCTAAAACTTGGCTAACATGTCTGGCTAATTAGCGTTTCTAGCACTCTCCTTTTACAGAGAACTGGCTACATCGGCTACATCGATGTATGTAAACAGGACTTTACAGGACTTGGCTGGCTGTCGGTGGACTGTTTGCTTTGTTGGTTGTTGGCCGCTTGGCTGCTTGACTTTCTTGACTAGTCGGTGTCCTTTGAAGGGCCTGTGTGAGCAGTGCGTCCTTGCTGAAGGAGCAGCCGCGTCCAACTGACTGCTGCTGGATGTGCAAGCTGCGATTGTTGCAACGATTCTGCCGCCGCAGCAAAACGCAGCAGCAGCAGAAGCAGGAGCAAAACCAACAGCAGCAACACATAAACGATGTACATGGGACGATGTATATATATATGTATATGAATATCCCGACACGAAGTCCTTCGTAGACGAAGGGTTGTGTAGTTGCAGTTGTAGTTGCAACACACACAGCAGCAGCAGCAGCAGCAACACGACAGTCTCACCTTCGGCCCACTTTGTGCAATTGGCTTAGTTCCCAGTCAACTTTACAGTGGCCGTTTACAGCGGAGAGAGTCCTGCTCCTCTCTCTGAAACCAAATGCACTCTCTATTTATGTCTCTCTCGTTCACTCGTCCCGTCTCTGTCGCTTTCCCCGAACAGCTGTTCTCGTTTTGCCGGCTCTTATCAGTGAAATGCTAACCGCGCTCTGTTATCCTGCGATTGCAATTTATTTTCTCACTTTTCAGTTGGCGCCCCTGCCTTTGCTTTCATTTCCTTTTCGGAGGGGTTTGATTTATTATGTAAAAGTACAAGGACACTGCCATATACAGTGGGGAATGCTTAAAAGGGAAGTAAGGGGGTAAAACTCATTTGGAATGAATTATCAATTAAAATGGGTAAAATTTTGAGTTGAAAGAAGGAATCAGTTAGAAAAGATTAAAGAATATAATATAAGTTTACTAATATCAAAATAATTAGACATGTAAAATCGATTAAAAATAAAGAATTCAAAGATAATATGGTCATATTAAAACACAGAATTAGTTGCAGAGGATATTAAAATAAAATTCAAATTATATATTAACAATATAGCAATAATTTTATAAGAATACCGAAATAGAATGTACATTAATAATAACATTTTGATATAATATATAATTATATATAACAAAATGCTGGTGTCATAATGTATATATGCTTTATTATACATTTGAGGATATTATTGCATCAATTTATTATATTAATGCTGAAATATATAACGGTTTTATGACACATTTGAAGGTATCATAGCCACCACAGGACTTTATAATACTTTCTAAAAGCCTTATGATACAGGCATTACATTTTTGTTTTAGCATTCGAAACCCTAAAAATATTTCATCACACATAATTTGTATAATTTTTTATAGAAATAAGATAAATATCTCCTTAATAGGGGACCTCTCTGTAAGGAGCTGCGTGTGCGTGCCAAGTGTTGGACAAACAAAACTGAGCTCTAAAGCCAGAATACATTTCTGACACTTTGGCAATCGACTTGATTCGACGACGGGCAGGAGAAGGGGTTAGCTTTGGGGATGTCCTGCCCCATCCTAATGGATCACCACAAAATGCAAATCGAAATGAGCAATTGCAAATGCATTTACCAAAACTAATTGCTTGATTAAATCACCTTACAATCGCTCAACAGCGTGCCATTAATTACACAAAGTAAATCCCCAGCATATCGGTTACTGGGGGCGCTGATAAAATCTATTATTAGACCGGATGGAAAGTTCCCAGCCAAGTTGGCTCGGCAGTTGCCAACCGGCGTCGCTTAGCAGAGCTCTGTTAAAGGACCTCTGCTAACTGGGCCGGCACGTGTTTCTCTCTCGCACACACTGAGAAGCGACCTTTTTGATTCTGTTTTGATTAATAGCTTCGTTGCAAGCCACGTGGCCGGCATTCCCACGAAGACTCGCTCTCTCACTCTCTCTCTCTTTCTAGTATTCAATTTCTCTAGAATGCAATTTCCCCGATTTTCTCTCTCTGTAAGGCCTGCGCTTTTTACAGTAGTTAACTTTTTTTCCAACCGCCCTGCAATCGAACGTGTTGCAACTACCCGTCTCAGTCTAACATTTCCCCAGCTTTACCCCCCGCCCATCCCAACAAAACAACAACAAATGCAGAAAATAAACAAACAAAAATAGTGCGAACAACAAAAAAGCAAGTATTACATAAGTCGGTGCTCCACCTACGCGAATTGCTGGATGGATATAATAGTTCTGGGGGCCCTTATATGGCACGTCGGGTATTGCTGGTCGGTTGTTTCTCGCTTTTGGCGAATGAAAATGGCCAAATTTGATTGTTCGTTTTAATTGCCAGCCTTTAGCTTTGGCCTAAATGCCATCTGCCAAATGTAGCATACATTCGAGGGTCATTCCAGAGTCGGGGGGAATCACCGGAAACTGACTGGAATTAGCCTCCTATGAGGCGTAATCTAAATATTATTTATTCATTTATGATTGCTGGCAGTTTGTTTCTTTTTAAAATAATTTTAATTTATATAAAGTAAGAAATTTAAATGCTTTATTTATATTTCAGGTGTGATATTTTGTATTGTTTAATATTTATTTAATTCAAAAGCAATTTTAAATAGTGTTCACATTTTGAATATTTAAAAGCAGTTGGAATATAGTTAGCATAAAAATGCCCAACAATGGCTTAAATAATAGAAAATCTATTAAGCGAAATACAAATTATCAAACTATTTAAAAAAAAACTTAACCTGGTTGAACTTTTATTTACACTCCAAAATCTTAGGAAAATTGCATTCTAAGTATTCGTTTACTACATAATCCTAATTTATTTTTCTCTATTTTATAATATACTTTTTTCATAATAATAAATGATAATTTTTACGGCCCCTCGAACTACGTCAAAAACAAACTTCTAGATTGTTTATAATTATACACGACATTACCTCGGGTTTTATTAATATCACTTTGGAAGCAATTATGTTTTGAATAAAGAAAAGAATAAATATGACAAAAGAAAATTTAATGAATTGTTTTTGCTTTAATTTAAGTGTAAACTGTTATAGCCAACGTTATGTCTTAAACGACCCATTTTCACATCCGCAAATCAAGAGTTAACTATATGCAAAGATAACAAACATTGTGAGACGACTTAGACTTAGAGTTAGATAAAAGCAGAAATGAATATTTATCCTTATTTTTTGTTATTATATTTTTACTATTATAAAGCCTTAAATACTAAGCTCATAGCTTTCATTTTCCAATTTAATAGACATATATTTGCCCTGTATCTACTTCATTACAAATAGGAACCACTAAAACATAAGCTTAGTTTTATAACCTTAATTTATAAACTATTTTAAAAGAACCCACATTCAATAGTTTACCATAAGCAATATTTTTGAATTAAATTATTTTTTTTTTTTTGTAAACTAATTATGAAGGAAACAAATTTGGTATATAAGTAATACTCAAATACGGATCCTTCTTAATTTGATTTGAGCTATAAAATTGTTCATACTTTTTAAAGAGTCTATAAAATGAGGATGTATTTTTTCTCTAAGATAATGCAATATAATTATCTATACCTGAATAATATTGTTTAACTTCTAAAACTAAAACTGATGCGATTCCAATTTAACTCCGAATATATGCGAATTATCCAATATTCTAAGTACGTTTTTCAATGTAAAATGTTTTAAATATCAATATATTAAAATTTTTTTATTAAATAATTCAATTTATTTACTTTAAATTAACTGTAAGATGTATTTCCTTCAAAAATACAGTTTTTAAATGATTCCTAATCTCAATACCCGAGAGAAAAATTAATATTTTGATATGGATAATAATTTTAATATCCTAAAAAAAAGTGAAATTGATAAATCAATTAGAGAATTATAACTGTGACATAATTGTTATTTATTTTGGGCGTAATCAGGGTGTCAGATATTAATGTTCCCACGAGCAATTAAAGGCCAAAAACTGCAGTCGTGCACAGACTCCTCCCCTTGCAACATGTTGCAGCGTAATCGCTTCCCCTGCAGGACGACGATGTTTGCTGCGCTGATGTTGTTTCTGTTTCTGCCACAGTTTGTTGGGGCTCGGGTGGTGGTGGTGGTGTGGGCTCCCTACAGATTTTGCATTTACTCCGCTGCCTTTTTGGCCATTGCCAGGACTCTTGTTGCAGGACGCAGTACATGTCACCTACATACACATGCGTGCGTGCCTCGTTTACATAGGCTCCGGCCGACCGACCAACCAACGACGTTCATCCTTGTCGCCTACACATTGGTGGGTGGCTTCGGGTGGTTTCGGGGGGCGCCGCCGGGTGGGCGGGAGCGGCGGGGCCCCTGGGAGGGTGGCGGAGGGTTCGGCACTCTCATTCGTCGGCCGTTCAAGGACCCCCAGCTCCGCGCACCCCCCGCTGGGCCATACAATGTTGCTCGTTTTGGCCTCGTGATCGGGCTTTCGTAACCGAAATACCCAAAAGGAGGGGGGCAGCACGGGGGCGTGGCATTCGGCAATCGGAGTCGTCGAGACGAATGCGTAAAATTTACAAAAAAAATATTTTTTTTTTTTTGCAACAAACTGCATTTAAATCTCTTGCTTATTGCTCTTTGGTTTTATCCACTTTTATGTATTTTTTGTTGTTATTTTTGCCTTTTCCTGTTGGCGCTTATTTTATCTTGTTTTCATTTTAACCCCAAAGCCATTCATTGCTCTTTTTGCCGGCCGTAAGTTTTAATCTTAATTAAATGCGGTTTTAATAGCATTTTAAATTGCAAAGAATGCAGTTCTGTGCAACTGAAGTTCGCAGTAAATCCAAATTTATCTGATATTGCGATTTATATAATGAAATTTAGCACACGAAAGATGCGAATAAT